ACCACCTCCCATGGATCGGGCCCGATCAATAGGCGTTACTGCTGGCCCAAAGCAGTCCGACGAAGCCACAGCCCGGCGATCCGGCACCGACTTTGGTATCTGTCCCGCTCCTTTTGAAAGGCAGCCAGGGTTTATTGGCAATTCCCCCCAATGCTTGAGGGGGGGCTGTGAACAGTTTTTGGGCCCCCGGACATTATGGTTTTTTTCCTTAGTGTACCAAGGGGGGCCCCTACTTTTTATTGGGGGCCCTTTTGCATCGCCTGCCCGGGTTTTTTCTTTCGAGGGAGTGATTTCTGTGGGGAGATTTGGGGCCATTCTTCCAAGATTTTTTAATGTAGATTTTTGAAAAATCTTCCCTCCTGCGTTTCCAAATATACAATAAGTGCTTCCCACGTTCCCCCGTATTTAAAGGGGCTTGACAGAAATTAACGGCAGTAAAAGGGTCCTGTACACCTCTAATGCGATTTCACCTGCTTTGTATGGAGTGTTTAAGTACACGATTCCCCCCTAGAGAAAAAGTGATTTTAAAAGGGGCATCAGGGGTTGCATCCCGTTTTGAAAATTCTCTTACCACCTATCATTTTCCCTTTTCACGTGCGACGTGGCACGTTGTGTCCTTGAAGTGAATCCTCAACTTTTACTCCCCGGTCCCTTACATTATTTTTCCGCTCATTGTATGGCCGGAGTCTAGATACCTGTTCTAGTTATTATCCCTCCATTTTTCCATAACGGAGTAGTTGGAAATTTTTCCTATTGAAATCATATTGTTTACCGTTTCCCACGGGAAAAATTTGTTTTATTTCTTGGGGGTTAACCGCACCCGCAGATGACGCCTAGCAGACCCCAGTATCATCCGCAAAGGTGATACATGCCGGGTGTATACTCTTTTATGCTGATATGGGATAAAGGGAAAAGATGGGGGCGATACGTCCTTTTTGGAACAGAGTCTTCACTATGGCAGCCTCCCATTTTAACTCTGTTGACCATACTCTTTGTGTTGTTTGTTAGGAATTGAAGACCCCTCCCCCCTTTTTCCCTTACCTTTAGCACTTTTTATGGGCTTTACGCCTGATCGCATTTGTCAAAGCTTTTTTGCAAAATCTGTGTATTTACTCTGCATTTTATTTTCTTCCCGGCATCCCAAGGCCCGTCTAGGTCCAGTAGTTTGAGGGCAGGAAGCGACCTGCCCCGAAAACCCCTTTTTTGCCCTGGATTTTTGGGAGATTTTGGGAAACCAGGTGATTTTCAATCCTGCTCTTTGCACTCTTTTAAAAATTTTTATGATGTGGGATGTCAGAGTATTGGTCAAGTTCTTTGCTAAAGCTTTTTTCTGGGCCCCCTTTATGGGGTGGGGCAAAATCCGGTTTTAATGATTTGAATTTTTCACCATGTCCAAACCCCCCTTCATAGGTACTTAGGCACGCAGAGGGGTTTCTTGCAGTTTTTAATGAAACAGGTTCCAAGTCTGGGCCCCGGGGGTGAGGCATAGGGATTTTTTCAATGGCTTTTCGAAATCTATCGGATTAGGGGAATGTCGGGAAAACTGGGATACTTTTGGATTTTGAGGCCATTCTGAAGAAATCATTTGGGTCGTCGCCTCAGACCATTAGGGGTTCACTAAAAACAAGTCGTACTGGGCAATAAAACATTTTTTGTTTCGTAAAAATTTTTGATAAGGGGGTACAATTTTAAACCTTTTTTTCAAAAAAAAATTTTTTTTTTTTTTTCATTTCCTTTGGCTTTAGCCCTCCTGCCTCCCTGGTTCCTGTAAGAGTCAAATTTTTTTAAGTTCGATAGTTTTTCCCCTTTCCTGGGCAGGCCTCCCTTGGACAGATATTCTAGCACTCCGGGAGCCAGTACTCTTCGTCGTCTTCTGTAGAGGGAGCGCTTTTTCCTCCAGTTTATCCTGCCTTCTTCTTTCTTAGGGGGAAATGCCTAAACATTTTGGTACCAGGAAGTTGATCCTTTTAAGGCAGGGGTTTTGGGGCCATGATTTAAGCATCTTCCCAACATTTTTTTTTAGGACATGGTTTACCTGGTCCCCGTTGATGTTCTTGTGTTGAAATTGTATTTTGTGAAGACACCTTCACATTTCAGCATTCTGTTGTTCAGGACCCTATGCATGTACGTCTGGACTTCGATTAGATTGTGTCAGAATTAGTTTTTTTTGATATTTTTATGTCTCATTCAGGTCCTCATTATTTTTGAAAAAGGTCAAATGTGTTTTCTAGCTTTGGCTCCACACTGCTGGCTTAAGGGGTGTTTTTCGCAGAGACTTTTAGCTCATGTGTGTGGACCTTTTATCTGCGCTCCTCCGGGGATTGTTTCAGTAAACTTATTTGCTCACTTTCCTTTTGTATGCCTTAGGTTGAAATCACCAAAACAGTAAGATGTTGGGATGGAGTGGAAGGTTTTTCCCAAAAAGTAAACGTTTTCATAGTGTTCCTTGAACTTTGGGGGTTGCATCTGGGGTTGTATCAACCACAAGACTAGGGTTTTGGTTCTCGATCTTTTTATAGAATTTAAATACCCCATTTTTTGGTGTTTTTAGCACCCGTGCAGAAAAGGGACTCTTTTACATACAGGGGCCCAAACCCCCCCCCTTGTTGCCTTTTTTTTCTGGCCAAAAAAGGTTTTAACCCCTTACCATATTTCACTGTCAAATATCTTTTTTTGTGAGCTCTGGAAGGGGTGCAAAATTTGCATTAACTCCCCAAATCCACTGAAAAGGGATTTTGTTTTTTGGGGGATGGGTTTGGCCCTGTATATTAGCAAATATAACGAGGTTGGATTCTGTGTTTTTTTGGGGGGATTTTGTTTTGGATCAAGTGTAATAATTCTGGAGGGCCCTGGGGGCCACTGGCTGCGCCTCCAGTCCAACAAGGCCCAAGGTGGGGGACATTTTTTTTATTTCCTTCCTTTTCTTTTTTCGTTTCCTGCCACTAAAAAATCACCTGGAGTTGGGTTGTCGTAGCTACTATTGTTTGTCTTGTGGGGTCTGTGCCTCCTGGTCCCTTTTAGATGGTATGCAGGGCATTCGATGTTGTAACACTGCTTCTGGAGGACCGAGGAGTGGCACATTTTTGGGTGAAAGAAAGTACAGGAAGAAGAACGACACACTCCTTTAGACAGGAGGTCGCTACATTTTTTGGGATGGTCAAAGTTGCATGTCCCATTTTTTTCCCCTGTTATTCCATGCTTACAGATGCCCCAAGCATAATATTTGCACAAATTCACCTTTGGTTGAGAATTGTTGGGAGGTGTGTTGTCAATTTCTGTAGGTTCTGGGACTGCACTATAATCCTCAGTATCCAAGCCAGGGCCACCCCGTCCTGGATTCCATCTACTTTCCCCAGTAGAGGAAGGAGGAGACTCCTCTCCAACATCTGTACTGTGGGCCACGGTCTTGTGCAATGATGGTTGTAGATGAATGGTTCAGAGAACCGACATGTTGATAAATTAGACACATGTGCAACTCTTGGGTATCTTTATTGAGGAAACGTTTCGCCACACAGTGGCTTCATCAGTCCATACAAAGGAGAATCTTGAAGAATAGGAGGAGAATGAGGTAATCAGTCCCTCAACCTTGAGTCGATGTGGTCAGTCCATCAATCTTGAATAGAATACGGCATACGTGCTGAGAAGGAGCTTATATACCGTTGGCAGGAGAGGTGAAGCAGTCAGAGGCAGTGTAACACTTATTCAATGTTGAAGTAGGTCGTGCCCAAGAATTAGGCAAGCGAAGAATTCCCAAGTATTAAGATCCCAAGAAGATGCAGTGTCTGCCTTGGTGGGATACGGCCGATGTGTTGAAAGAAATATATATATATATATATATATATATATATATATATAATATATATATATATATATATATATATATATATATATATATATAATATATGCGAACAATCACAGACAGGCGATCTTAATGCAAGACAAGCCACGAGGGAAGGGGAATCTTCAGCTCAAGTACTCTCAAACTTCTCAGTGCGTCATCAGGAGCTATGCAATGTTGCGATGTGTTCAGCAGCTGAAAGAGTGAGAGGAAGTTTTCTCAGAGATGTGCAGTGCGGGTCTGTCACCTGCCGCAGTCTCTCTCGGGCTATGGCAGGTGATAATCAGTTGCTGCATTGCAACACTGCATAGCTCCTGATGACGCACTGAGAAGTGCGAAAGTACTTGAGCTAAAGATTCCCCCCCCCCGTGGCTTGACTTGCATAGTTAAGATTGGTTAGAAACCAGAACTTGAAACTTTTCGAAATTCACCATCTTGAAAAATCAAGTCATCCGATGAATTAACCGGGGATTAACTACGAATTCAAAGAATCTGGTGAACACGCATGCCACATTTTTTTTTTTCAAAATAATTTACTGTGATTTAGTGGCATTCAAACCCAGGGTATAGTGTGCTTATCCTCCGCTCTATTAGACCTTGAGGGATTATAAGGCTGGCAATCCTATCCTAGGTAATGTGTACAGGCGCCCTAGCTGTTGTGTCAACTAAGTCTCTTATTTCAAAGCCAGTTTCTCACTAACAACATTCTGTGTTGAGATATAGCTCATGTCTTTCTATGTCAATTCTTAAAAAATCGTAATAGACTGACTTTTTTGTTTCAAATTATGAGCAAGATTCGAACTTCAAGCTCCAAGGAAAAAAATTACCTTCGACAGACCAACTAACCCCATTTCTGTAATGGAAGAATAATGACATTCTTTTCACTCCATGTACGTAAGTATACTGTACTATTCTTTTCGATCCATGTAAGCATACAGTACTATTCGGTATAGCCCATTCCAGGGTAATTAATTCCTTAATAACGGTGAAGGGTTCTTGATTCAAGGAATTGGAGCTACCCCTATTTTTTCCCCTTGTGTCGAACTTCAATATCTCCCATTTCCCAGACGCTACAACACCCCTACGGAGTTTAGTACTTCCCCATAATAAAAAAAAAAAAAATATGGTCAGATTAGCAGGTAAATTATGGTTTACACAAGTCTTAAAAAAGCCGTACTTTTATTGTGTTCAGCAACTACAAAGTGCATTGTACAGATGTTCAAAATCTACTCTATGACAGTGAGATTCTCTTGTCTTTGGGAGCTGCATTTTGCCTGCTTACGAAACATGAATTCACCTCGTGTTCCAATTTTGGAGGAGCACTTTGCCAAAGTATTGATTCACCTTTTATTCTAACCTTCGCTGTTCTTATGAGAGCTAATGGAACACCAAAGTTAAAGGAATTTTTAGACCTCTGGTATTTATTCTTCATTAAAGCTCAGCAAACGAGGAAAAAATTGAGCATTTCTATATAAGCACGTAAATACATGCAATAACTGTACATCATATTCCCTTAACTTTTGATCTCCACTTTATAATTTAATGTTCCATTGTGCATTAGTGGAACATCCACCACAAAAAAAGTTATGTTAAAGGCCATTCTTGTAGGTCAGTGATAAGTGTGTCATGACGGTGAAAGATCAAGGGGCCACAGAGAAGCTACAAACAATTTCAGTTCTCTACTACAGTCTGTTACTACACCAAAAGCTATACATCCATTACACTTTGCTACTTTTTTTTTTATATTTTTGCTACAGTGTGATGTTACAGCAGCTGGCAAACAGGCTATAAGAGGACAAATATACATACTCCCACGCTTACCTCACATCTATTAACGGTTTAATATGATATAAATCCCTTTTTATCACATTACTGTGTGTTTATGCTTCTCACAAGACTAACAAAAGTAGTGGTTTCCAGCTTTGAAGATTACGTAGCTCACTGATGGCTAATTACCTTCCCAATAAGTCAAAGTCAGGCAAGACGCGCTCCTTAATACTATTATTGGCAGTATAAAGCATCGTCAGTGATGGTACATAAATTGAGGCCAAAAAATAAATGCATATTAATCAAATTCAAATAAATAATTTACAATGATAATTTGCAGTATATCTCCTTCAATAGGCTCTACCAATACATGTAAAAGTTTCCTTGTTCTTTATCTTTCTTATATAGTACTCATCTGTTTTCTTTCATATACACATGCAGTATATATAAAAATTGTCACATTAAAAATTAAATAAACATAATTAAGACATGTAACATGAAATATACAAAACAATATTACAATTATATTCACATATTGGGAGTAACTTTTATAATCTTCCCTCACAGTACAATATAACTATGCAGTTGCATGTAGTGCCTTGCCACCACTTGTAGTACTTTGTACACTGGTAAATACGCAGAATTATTGTACATGTAACAACTACAGTGTTTCAATGCTACATCTGATGCCACTAGCCTTCACCTGTAGTAGTTTTGATTTTAAATATAAAAATAAAGTATTAATATCCTCTTCTTTCAATCCTAGAGCACATTACGTATCATGATCCTATTGAATCAATAAATTTTGGCTCTGTCCTATACGGGTTTGGCTCATAATCGCCAATATAATAATAGTATATAAATAAATTTCTATAATACTTCTTACTGGCCATTCTTTTGATAACTGGTAATTACAGTACGTCTTGTATTCTTCTCACAGAATGAGTAGGGCGAAGATACATTACATTATGTAACTACTGAAAAAAGTATCTTACATTTTCTTCAAAATCTGAGCTAATGGTCTCACAGAAAATTGAAGATTTTGTGCAAGATAAGCACATATGATGGCTTAGGTATGGGGCACATGGTGTTTTCATAACAGCCATGCGCAGGGGGTAATCTTTCAGCAGCAATACTACAAGGCCCTACGTATAGCAGGAGTAACGCTCTGACATAGTCACAAGGGTAAGTGCAAACAAGATTAAGTTTGATGAAGTTCAGAAGAAAAGTCAATCTGCTCGTAGGTCCTCTTCATATGTGAGTAAAAATCGTACTGTTTGGTTCACTGCTGTCCAGTGTCACTCGGCACGACGACAGACATCAATAATTATCCCTGGCTCTGGGCAAGTTGGAATTCATTTCTTGATGTATGATCTTCGACGGTCAGGCTGTGGGTGACGAAAAGTGATGTCAGGTAAAAAATATACCTCATATACGGTGGGTAATATATATACCTCTTTTGGTATAATATAATCATTCATTCAGGTTGATAACGAGCATATTTTATAACGAACAGTACTTACTGGGAGAATGTTGAACCAGCAGGTGAGGTCTTCACTGACTCCCATTACTGCTCCAGCGTTGTCAAACTCTCCACAGTAGTTAGCTGCACTGAAAAGTGTCACCAGCGATCGCTTTTGGAAAAATTGGTAGCCATCTTCCACAACCTGCAAGAGTAGCAAGAGAGTATAGTTAAAAATAAATATATATACGGAAATCTATTAAAAAAAGTATTTATTTGATTATAGTAAACTTCACATGACCCCCCAAAGTCGCCTTCGTTAATAATTTATATTATTTCTTACATGTATGTTACCTCTGGTGTTTCCTGCTTCTCACTTACTATATATACGCCTATATAAAATCTTGAGACAACACTCAGCCTTTCTAAGCATTTTATCGAATTATTCAAGACTAGATACCATTTGAAGCAGATAAGTGGACCTGCTCTCGTCAGAGCGGCCGATGGTTCAATCCTCGGCCGTAATGAGTGTACTAGATAACGGGAAATATTTTCCTACCTGATGAGCCCGAACAATGAGGCTAAGATCATGGTGCTCTAGGAAAGCCTTCAACACATCGCCTCCGAAAGTCCAGGAGACACCACGGTCATTGGGGGACCAACCACGGCCTTCCTGCGGAAAGAAAAAAAAAACATTTTAGGATACCTGTCGTGTTACGATAGCGGTTTCGTATTCACACTAGCAGTGTCCTGTTGACAATGAGAGTGCGCTGTTCCACAATGAGAGTGCTGTGTTCACAAGAGTGCTGTGTTCACAATGAAGTGCTGGTTCACAATGCAGTGCTTGTGTTCACATGACAGTGCTGTGTTCACAATGAGAGTGCTGTGTTCACAATGACAGTGCTGTGTTCACAATGACAGTGCTGTGTTCACAATGACAGTGCTGTGTTCACAATGACAGTGCTGTGTTCGCAATGACAGTGATGTGTTCACAATGACAGTGCTGTGTTCACAATGACAGTGCTGTGTTCACAATGACAGTGCTGTGTTCACAATGACAGTGCTGTGTTCACAATGACAGTGCTGTGTTCACAATGACAGTGCTGTGTTCACAATGTGTATGCATATGCCGTACCTATATAAACTGTTGTTCCAAACAACATTAACGGCATGTAGACTACAAACAATAAGCAACATTTCTCTACTGTAACAAAAACTAACGAGAAAATATAAATCGTCCTTGTTTGTGTTTCAAACTTAATCATGTACTTAACGTCACATTTACTCCCCCCCCCCAAAAAAAAAAAAACTTAGAATATAAAATGCACCAATGCAATGCATTTATAATTCAGGAAATTCTACAGTAAATTGGACTTTCAAGAAAATCTTAGGTAATCTAAACTGCTGAAATATCCTTCAGATTCATTGAAATTTAGTGAAACATATGCATTAATGCACAATTAACTCACACTAAAGAGGAAGTTTTAAAGGATATTTCGGTCTATGATGCACCATTATCAAGACACGATGATCTGTCTATGACTTTACTGGAGTGTACCTCAGTAATGTAGGTTGACTGTGAATTATTCCTGTACTGATATTATTATTTAATTTTTTAGGAAATAATATGAATTCTGACACTTTTTAGCATCAGCTTACCTCGTCAGGATCAGCCCAGAGGATGTCACAGGTCAAGCCTGAGTCAGGGACGTTCAGTGGACGCTCTATTGCCCGTAACTGTTGAAGAAAATTTATGTTACACGAGGATCATAAAAGTCACTTCATTCACACTCACTTCCGGCTCTTCATCCATTAACTGATCTCATCTGACTCATTGGTCAAAATATTAAATACATCTCTTAACTGATCATCTGCTCAACATCCCATTTATTTATTCCTCTCTATCCTTACCCAGCTATAACTACAGTCACAAGGTAATAGGTAATGACGTACCTGCTCAAGATTTTGTAGGTCTGGTGAGAGTCCTCCATGCATGCACAAGATGGTGCCTTCGATAAGGGCAGCTAAGGAAGGAAAAAAAAAGACAAGAAATAAATTTTTGCAACCAGTTCCTTGGGTTTTAAATAACCCTGAATGACTCAATACGTTTTATCACTTTCTACAAGTTTAAACAATACTCAAATTTTAAAGTATTAATATATATATATATATATATATATATATATATATATATATATAATATATATATATATATATATATATATATTATATATATATTATATATATATTTTGAACTCACCAAGTGGAAGACAGTTGAAAAGATCAGTGAAGGTTTTCCATAACTTTACGTTGTATCTTCTTTTGCACTCGTCATAAAACCCATATATTCTGGAGAAATAAAATTTAAATTATACAAACGCAATTAACATCCTATTTAGATTAGTCAAAAAAGAAATGGCGTGGGATACGTCTATAATGAGTTTTTAATACTAGATAAACATGAATCAGTATAAAGATTTCTAGAAAATAAAAATCTATACGTTACTGTAGTACTAATTTTATATGAAAAAAAAAAATAAATACTCAAGGAAATCAAAGTTATAATTTTTACCAAGACATTTAAATTGTTTAAGAAACGTAGTGTACTGTGTTTATTATTTTTCTCAGTATAACACAGTAGTGACAAAGTAAGTATATAAATACCTGTTTATAGACGCACACTCATGGTTTCCTCGTAAGATGAAAAAATTGTTGGGATATTTCACTTTGTAGGCTAGTACTAAACATATAGTCTCTAGCGACTGCTTCCCTCTGCCAAACAAAGTAAAAAAATAAGATTAATCAAGTGTTATCATTTGTATTATTTATTCTGAATTAATCACATGGTTCTTTCGTTTAAATGAAGTTATTTTGAAATTTAAAGCGCAGGCGAATACGTTCTTGCGAATATTTAAGTGCATTAGAATTACGTCTTTTTTAAGCAGCATCGTTATTTCGATAATTTTATATTGAAACGTTACTCATTTTTCCAGGTATGAATGTTGACTCGAAACTACATTGTTTCTTATCATTGTTCATGGTTGTCAGTGTACTCTTTCTCACTATAAATTTATTCCAGTGTTGCACAAGGTTTTCAAGGAAAGCCATTTTATGAGGCATTTGGTTGCAGAAAACAGGGATGGGACTAAGATGTTATTCTTGTTACGTATTGAGTGAGTTAATGTACAGAATGAATTTTGTCAGATAGTACAAGAGGTGAATAACTTTTATCTTAGTAGAATTGCAAGGCTAGTGAAAAGGGTAAATCAGAAATCAAGGGTAAAAAAAAAAAAAACCCAACAAGGACGCTAATTTACTAGAAGCTTGACTTTCATTAAGGAGAGATGGTTGGTCAGTTGCGTGTTGAGGTCTGGCAACCTGATGCGTGCAGCTTAATAAATGCGTGCAGCTTAATGTCACTATCAGTTAATCAACTTTATGTGTTAAAATGCAGGTCCATGTATACGAGTTTTCGATCTGACCTGGAATTCATATATTACATTCTCCAAAATGCAGTGATTTTTCCTTTGTGGGCGTATAACTCAAAGCCAAAATAATTTGACTAAACAATGAAACGTCTTAAGTAATATTACTGAAGTGGTAGGAATAGTCATTTTACATATCTTGTAAAATAAATATATTACGACCGATATATTTTGTTATGCGATTTACTGTTATTAAAATGAGCACTTAACGGCATATTTTATTTTGAAAACTCATGTAAAAATGAAAGTATGTGTACCTTTTAGAATACTGATTACAGTCATAAGAATTTTAATTTTGTGGACAAAGACAAGGTTCCGGAAAAAAAGTATTTGAACAATGTTTCGCTCAAGGAAGAGCTTGTTAAAACTCTGCATTCTTGTGTCTGTTCACATATCTGTGTTCCGCACTCTCAAAACACTACCAAGTTTTGACCCTTGAAGAGGGATTCCGTATTTTTAAATGAATTATTATTTATTAGCATATAAGAAAAGTTCCTGGGGTACGCCCTCGAACCAACGTGAATCTTGACTGACCTGTCGACGTAGTCTCCAAGGAAGAGGTAGTTCTGGTGTGGAGGGTAACCCAGTTTGTCGAAGTGTCGTAGCAGATCATTGAACTGGCCGTGGATATCTCCGACGATGTTGACCGGAGCTTCGAGCTCCACCAGCGTCGGCTGTTCCAGGAGCACCTGGCGGGCCGCCGACACCAGCGCCCGGATCTTACCCTCATCCATGCGGATCTGGAAGAAGGAAGATGCACTGTTGTAATTCACGGGGTTTGGTTAATCGAGTTTGAAACCTGTCGACTACATGATGGTCATTATCGCTGTGTGTCACCCTTATACCACAAGTAAAGACACTTTACATTCTAATGGAGAGATTAAGGTAAACTCTCCACAATTATACACACCTTTTGGTATACATCCACTAATTCGCAGGGCAATAAAATAATATGGATGATACTATACGGTGTCTCGATTACTTTTTTTTTATTATACTGTTAACATCTTTTTCAGTAACTGCATAACTCCAAAATGTTCCTAAGAATATTTAACTAATGCTAGGCATGATACCCAGTCCTGAAAAAAAATGTTCCGGCCACAACGCCATACATAAATAGTGAACAATATTTCCACCGATTTAAAACCATTATCAGGGTTGGATGCACTCTCTCCAACATCATGGGGATTTCATCGACTCACTGAGGCAGCCCTAGTACATTATGTAATAACCGAGACAATGGCCCTGATGTACCAAATGATAGTGTGTTAAACCAGTTAAAAATTCTGTCTATTCGCTAGTGTGTTGGCCGACACAGTAATGAACTCAACATCTAGCCAAACAGAGGATCGAATCCTGGCAAGGTCAATTTTGGACGTGACTTGAGAGACAGACCCTCGTCTCAATCTGGCCTATTTAATTGATATAGCTATTTCATATTAAAGGTTTTAACAAGATCCACAAAAAGAATATATTAACCACCTACTGAACTGGCTTCTTATATCAAGATTTGATAAAAAATGAATGCACAATAAAGAATAGACTTCATTGCCGTGACCACCAATGCTGAGAATCTGAGAATGAGATGACGGGTCTGGGTGAGGCTAATGAGGAAAGATAAAGGGGGGAACCTAACTGTAAGAAGGGTGGTTACGGTAAATGTCGACCATGCCAAGGTGAGTGACGCAGGCACTAGTTAGCCCTCACGGCCCTTGCATGACCTAACTAATGCTGTGACATCAACATGCTACCTGTAGACACAATTAACTATTTCTTTTTTTTTTTTTTTAATGGAAGAGACCCGGGCCGGGATTACCGGCGAATCAAATAGAATATTTCTTTTATATGTTAGCCTATTTGTACACACACACACGCAGTATTATTTAATATTTCCTCTTACTCTATATTCTAATTCAGCTTTTCAACTTGGGTTTAACGCATTTCTGAAATTATTACTATTGTTCTTGGGTTTGACCATTAAGTACACACAAACACACACACACATAATAATTAAATAATTAAATAAATAAATAAATTATATATATATATATATATATATATATATATATATATATATATATATATATATATATATATATATATATATATATATATATATATATATATATATATATATGCAATAATATCACAGTAAACAGGTGATTTCAGAATATGCAAAAAACCACTCTGAAAGAATAGAGAAATTCCAAGCGCTTTCGTGACTACTCACATTATCAAGGAACTATGATAGTTCCTTGATAATGTGAGTAGTCACGAAAGCGCTTGGAATTTCTCTATTCTTTCAGAGTGGTTGTTTTGCATATATATATATATATATATATATATATATATATATATATATATATAATATATATTAATATATATATATATATATATATAATATATATATATATATATATATATATATATATATATATATATTATATATATATATATATATATATATATATATATATATTTATATATATATATATATTATATATATATATATTATATATATTGCTTATTTGGCCACAGAGTTCTTCTTACACACAGTGATCAGCCTTTTAATATACATTTATACGAAGTATATACTTTGTGCTATTATTTGTATCTAATCTTGTACTGTTCACGGTGCTAGTGGTGGTGTGTATCATCACTACAGTGGAAGGTAAGGTGTGGCCTGGCTTGCGTGTACCCGCATCGCCTGTTAATGTATTGTGTGGCTGCAGGCAGGGGTGGTCCACCCCATGCTCAGTTTCACGTTTATCACCGCAGCTATGGGGGTGGGGGGCTCCTCCACGCTGGTTAGGAGTGCCTGATCCATAGGACCTGGAGCCTAGGATCAAATCTGATTTCCTAGGATCAAATCTGATTTCCGTTCATTCCCCCAGACGCTATGTGACCCCCTACGGATCAATAGCTTCCCATAATAATAATAATCCACTACCTTACCTATCCTAACCTTCAATAAATTTGTCTCTCGTTTTGGACAGACGTTAAAGAATAAATTCTATGCTACTTCCTAGATGTTGGTATTAAATGAAGACAGAATGAAACATTATACTTTGTAATGTTTTCTTATCCAGCAGCTATTTTAGGCGTGCTTAAGTACACGAGTCATTTTGTCATTAGTTCTTTACTTATTCAGCATATAGTCTTTTGTGTGTGTATCGATATGAGAGGTTGCATGTGTGTGTGTGTGTGTGTGTGTGTGTGTGTGTGGTGTGTGTGTGTGTGTGTGTGTGTGTGTAAGAGGCTGCACGAGTATTAATGCTTGATCACACACACTAATAAACTATGCAGTACACACACTGCACTTTAGATGAGGTCTCGTGATCACCAATCCAACTTGCCAAATATTTCTTCTATATTTACACCAGCTGAGTCATTTATCATCAACCTATCTTGCAAAAAGAGCACAGTATTGTGTTTCCTCTAAGACAGTCAGCAGAAACTTAGATTTCACTACTCTTTAGCTTTTGTCTCCACACATATTTGGGAGGTCCCAGCACCTGTTGGTGTGGATGTAAACACTTAAACTTGCCATTAGAATTAATCACACACCTTGCATCGTTACGTGCTTGAATGTTTATTAATACAGGGGTTTGGGCACAATTTCTTCACTGTTATCACTACGGCGGTCTGGGTGATGTGTGAATACCTGGCTAGCCAGATTAAGCGCTGTTGCGCCTGGTTAAAACTTCGAAAGGTGGCTGCGTGTATAGTTTTGCCCTTGTGTAGCACCCTGATTAGATTGGCTCTTCCTGTCTCCCACAGTGTACTCTAGGTACCCAAGTGCTCGAGAGGTGTCGATGTACTTCATCCACAACAAAGTATTACCTTAAAACATTAGCCACATATCTCAGCTTTGGATATTTGAACCAGTTCATTACAAATGTAAACTGCTTAGATAAACGTTGGGGTTCAGTCCCCTGACCTGTGCGCCTCAGCATTCTTTTCACTGTGGCTTACAAGGTGGCTTTGAGGTGTGTAATAAATGCATCATATTTAAACAAGTTCACGGAAGCTTTAATTTTTAGATACTGTAGCTAAATAATTTATGAATGTGGAGTTACCGTAGCCACAAGAAGATTGAGAGTTCCAAGGTGAAGGATCATGTGGGAAGACCTGGGATATTAGATGAAAACGGGCATGACCCGAACGTAGAGTTAAAGTAAACTGAAGAAATTTCATCTTTTAAATACTTAAGTGTTTATTTTAATTCATATTTCAGGCATTAACGTAGTCTTGAAGTTAGGGTACAAGTGAGATGGGTCCGTATTTACTCGCGTGCTGTAGGTCTTAATTAAACCTAAGTAGACAAACCAGTATTAATTTTTTTACATAATTTGTGGTAGCACAGTGTTGGTTCTTTCGAGGAGGGAAATACAGTGGCCATACAGCCATAGGTGTCCATTTGGGGGTCCATGGATTACTGTTATATTCATGGGGAAGTGTTTTAGTGCGTAGGGAATGGGAAATGAACAGGATTGATCCAAGGAAGTGTAATATGGCCCACATTCTTTGATCAGGAAAGGAGGGGCGCTGAGGGCAGATTACAGAGGCTGTCTTATGCAAGGGCTGAACAAGGCGGGGAGTCGGGGAGTCACATGAACCTCCTGGAATCCCGCAGCTTACTATTCCCGCCGCCGCTCTCCTTTGGCTCTCCTCCAAGAGATGGCGGTAAGCGCCACTATTTAACTTGTATGGAGTCGGGGCTTCTCTGGAGGGGGAGGGGAAGGCTATTTAATCTTAGGGTGGTCTTTTACGGTCTTGTACTGACCTTTAAGTCTGTACTTCTCTGGGACGAGATGTCCTGTGATCTTGTATTTCATCATTACGTTTTATCAAGAAAAGTGTAGAAAAGCGATTTTCGAGTCGCTTAAATGGATGTAATGAATACATTATTATAATAAGCTTAACTAAGCGCTAAATCTAAATGAATAATACAAGATATTTTTTTTTTGTCAGTGACCTGTCAAAGACCTGGGAGTGATCATGTCGGAGGATCTCACCTTCAAGGACCATAACATTGTATCGATCGCATCTGCTAGAAAAATGACAGGATGGATAATGAGAACCTTCAAAACGAGGGATGCCAAGCCCATGATGACACTCTTCAGGTCACTTGTTCTATCTAGGCTGGAATATTGCTGCACACTAACAGCACCTTTCAAGGCAGGTGAAATTGCTGACCTAGAAAATGTACAGAGAACCTTCACGGCGCGCATAACGGAGATAAAACACCTCAATTACTGGGAGCGCTTGAAGTTCCTGAACCTGTACTCCCTGGAACGCAGGCGGGAGAGATACATGATTATATACACATGGAAAATCCTAGAGGGACTAGTACCGAACTTGCACACGAAAATCACTCACTACGAAAGCAAAAGACTTGGCAGACGATGCAACATCCCCCCAATGAAAAGCAGGGGTGTCACTAGCACGTTAAGAGACCATACAATAAGTGTCAGGGGCCCGAGACTGTTCAACTGCCTCCCAGCATACATAAGGGGGATTACCAACAGATCCCTGGCAGTCTTCAAGCTGGCACTGGACAAGCACCTAAAGTCGGTTCCTGACCAGCCGGGCTGTGGCTCGTACGTTGGTTTGCGTGCAGCCAGCAGTAACAGCCTGTTTGATCATGCTCTGATCCACCAGGAGGCCTGGTCACAGACCGGGCCGCGGGGGCGTTGACCCCCGGAACTCTCTCCAGGTAAACTCCAGGTCTGTTTAC